GGCTATCTTTGACGTCTTTGAAAACAAAAAAGTCTCTCAAATGCAGAGAAGATGGGAAGATGGTGTAAACAGACTGCAGCAGGGAAGTAAATGGGATCCCTCACAAGAATGATGGTCTCATTGGAAGACCAGACAGGCCAAGTGTAAATAGAGGTCTAACTGGGAAATAGCATTTTCCTTAAGAATAGCTAGGGTGGCCTTCCAAAAACAGAATCATGGACTTAGAGCTGTGAGTAGGTAGCTCAATGGCTTCCACATAGAAGACACTTAATAAATGTGTGTTGAATTGAATTGAATGTATTCCAATATCCTCAGTTTATAAATGAGGAAATTTGAGTCTACCAAGATGTTAAATGACTTTCCTAAGGTCACATAAGTAGTAAGTAGCAGAGGCAAGATTTGAACCCAGGTACCACTAGGCCATGGATAGAGTAAAACTCACAGAGTTTTTTTGAAGTTGGATAATAGCATGCACCATTTTGTTCATTGCTATCTGGACAATTTTTAAACAAAGGGAGGTCCCTTAGCAAAAAAAGCTGGGCGCTAGAAACACCCCAGTGCACAGCTAGAAAAGTGCACCTGCGCCTACTGCTTTAGCTAAAGAATTCAGTTCAGCAGAGTTGGGGCATCATAACTGCAAAGTTAAGCAGAAATTCTGCATTAGAATCCAGGATCCCATCATTGATTTTATGTTGTCAATAAGCATTTTAAATGAAAATTTTCCTGAATTTGGAACTGAATCAGTAAACATGTAGCAGATTCAGCTAACACGTCTAAGCATTCACTGTTGGACACCTTTAATGCCAGAAGGCTTGGAAAAAATGGGTTTTAATTGGGCAGTTAAACTGTGAAAATCCAGCTGTGTTTTCCTTTTCATGAGCACTAATCAGAGTTCTTCATCAGTCTGTCCAATGGTATGTTTTCACTCAAAGGATCTTTTTGGTTTTTAAGACTGATTTCAGATGGGGACAGGGTTAAAGAAGTATCTTATCCACTGTGGTGAGTAATTGAAAGCTTTTTCTTTGTAGCTTGTTTTTTAAATAGGTCAGGAACAGCAAGCCGTCTCTATCATGAAAGCAATTCAATTTTAACCCTTCCTTATTTATTGCTAACTTATACACTGGGATTACACAGAAATAAAAGTGTTTTGCTATTTCTGCTGATATTTAAAACCAAGGTATATAGAACCTAGTTTCCTTAGTAAGAAGCAAAAATCACTCCTGGAAAGCAATCAAGTCCAGAGAGTCAGTGAAAGTATGAATTATAATACTTTGGTTTGTTCAGGAAACCATTCTAGTAAGGATGACAACAACAATAACCAATAACTATTATACTTTAAGGTTTCAAAGCACTTTATAAATATTTGATCCTCACAACAACCTTGGGAGGTTATAGCTATTGTTATTCCCATTTTACAGATGAGGAAACTGAGGCAAGCAGAGGTTAAGTGACCCTCCCAGGGTCATACAACTATTAAGTAACTGAGGCAGGTTTTAAATTTAGGGCTTCCTGACTCCGAGCTGTCCACCTAGCTGCTTCACTTTTAGATTTACTGTTTATATCTAAACTGTAAATGGTTGGGGTAGTTTTAAAACAAAGTTTGGCACTATCTGCCTTCCTAGAACTCTAGGCCCAGGTGACCAATTAGACTACCATAAAAAATTTTTAAGTTAAAATTATTGCCCCAATCCTCTCAGTCCTGATTTTTCACTAAAGAAATAAATATAGAACAGGAGAGTCACCCAAAGCTACTGAAACTCCCTGAGGTTTTTTTAACTCAGATTAAAAATGAAATTATATTGGATAAAATAAGGACAGATCAATGTCATTTAAATCCTCCTTTAGCTTGATAATGAAGCTGCTGAATAGAAGGATATGCATAATCCTCCCCTCCCCCATCTGCTTTACTGTCCTGTCACCTATAAACTAGCTTCTCTGCTTTTCCCTCTTCCTTCTCAGAGACAGCAAAACAATGCAGTTTTTCCAATAACTTTTCTACTAATGCTGGAAGGGTTTTTTCTTCATAATGATGTTGAGTATAATCATGGTTTTTATTCTAAGTCCATGCACATATATGCTTATTGTACCCATATGCTGGATAAGAGGAGAGTTGTTTTTTTATTGGCTATTGCAAATGAGAATCTTGGAGCAAACATTGATTATTAATTCCTTCAGATTGCATGGTTACGATTAGTTCTATGGTTGCTAGCCTGTACTATTAGGAATAACTAAAAGAACTAAACAGAAATATGTACACATTGAAAATGTAAATTGAAGGATTTTGTCTACCTTTCCCCCCATAGATCACGTATGGCTTCTCTGATTTGAGGTAAAATAGTGTTTACAGCCATTAGACGAAGGAGACAGTGGCAGAGAAAACTAAACAGATGTTAGTAAAAGATTTAACTTCCAAGGTGGGATATGGTAATATCTCCTGGGAGAACGTATGGCATGAAGACCAGGGTTGTATAGCATCACACAAAAGTGGTTAAATATAACTTCTCTGATTTATTAGCATTTTGGAAAACAGTTCTTTAAACCCCGTTCTCCTTCTATCTCAGTATTATCAGAAATACAGTAAACTTGGTAACCCGGAGGTGGGTAGGTGGGGGCCTAATCCTTATTTCCTTGCTTCAGAAGGTCACCTCTGCTGCTTTTGCAAGCATGCTCCCTGAGCCCTACTGCCTTCCAGGTCTAATCTCCTTATAGGTGCAGCACCATGGCAACAGGCCCAGCCCTGAGCACGCTGGGCACGCCAGGAACCTTGTTTGTGTTACCTGAGGGGCAGGATGCAGCCTGAAGCAGGAGAGAAAAGGACCATCACTTCCTCCCCAGCCTGTTTGGATGAGGGTGGATTTTTTTTTTCCTCAGTCTTTGTTCCTGCTCAGCTTCTAATGAAGGCTTGAAATAACTCCTGAAAAAAAAAAAAAAGACCTCAGTAATCAAGGGCGGCAGGAAGATTCTCTTCATTTGATGCCTGTCTTCTGAACAGAGACTTGGCTTTTGAAATGTAGTTCAGAAAGCAAGTTGGGGGACCAGGACATGTGGCACCACCATGATCTGGGGTTGCACTGCCAGGTGGCTGTACAATTGCTTCATGTAGGTGGATGATTAATTTATTTGAAATAAAATGTGTGGTCTATTTAGAAAATAGAGAAATGTAATTATGTGAAGACTTTTAAAAGAAGCCTCTTGTTAATACTGCTTCCATTTTAAGTATGCCATAATCCTTCCTGCTAGAAGAAATTGAGGGGGGTGGGGGAGGGAGAGACTAGGAATCAGTGTACACTCTTCCACTCCAGCGACTCCTGCTGGGAGAAATCAACTCCAAGTGCCGGCAGGTGGTAGCCAGCTTCCATCAGCCAGATTTTCTATGAAACACATTAGAAAATTCTTGGCATAAATTATATTAAATTAAATTATATTGTCTATGTGTTTTCACTTCTATCCCACTAAGTAGGAATCATTGATCTGTAGCTGAGGTAATAGGTTTGAAACAGACAAGTTAACAAGTAACTATTGTAATCTGTTCTGAGGGAAAAGGAAAGCCTAAATTCTTGTTATCATGCTGCTTCCATCCTTTTCAGGAGGAATTGTGAATACATAGAGTAGATAGCATTCTTCTGTTTGCCATTTTTAATTGTTAATGAGATTTTGTGGTGATATTCATTTGAATTTTAGAAGACTTGCATTTTTGAAGAATGTAAGGAAATCCCTGAGTTCAGGCAGTGGTTAAATCAAACAGAATAGAACTCTTACTTTCTACATTGTTATATCTAAGTCTCCATAAGCAGATCTAGGTTGGAGACAAAATGAGGGAAAGAAAGCCACTGTTTCTCATTTCTTGTCTCATAATCTAAAAGCTACTCTGGCATTAAGTATTTGCATTTATTTAACATTAGCATGGTTATTTCAAAGAAATAATGGGAGGCACCTATATGATATGTTTGTTTGTTTTCAGCAATAAAGTAATTTGTAGAATATATTTCTTCTGATACCTGTTAATAAGAATTTGAGCTTGGAATCTTTTCAATGTTTTATAGCAAATGAATCTTATGACTGTTGCATGAACATCCAGTTCAGAATTTTTAAAGTATTGTTTCATATTTTATAACTTAATTAATATTATTCCAAGCTAGGTAAAGCAGAAGCATCAAATGTCAGCTTATGCTAAAAGAAAGGGAATTCCTGCTATTCCTTAGATACCTAGGAAAGCAAATCAACTAGGATGCACTAATGGTATTGACTGAGATTGTCTCCTCAGGAAGAGGTTAGCAGCATTTATTTGCAAAAGATGCAGGTGATCTGAGCTAGTTTCTCTTCAATTGTGCCTCTTAAAAATATGACCAATAAAACAAGTCTTTTAAAAATTACCTACTGAAAGTGATATTAGTCCTTGTGAGAAATAGCATCTCAGAACAGAACTTTGACATTGACTGTAATCATGATTTCATGATGTAAAGAATTCAGAGGTTGAAATAGAACTTTCTTCTGTGGGCTAAATGAGGGATTTGGACCAATTAACTGAAGGAAATCTAGCATGAAGAGAAAAAAAACAGAATGAGGTGCTAGCAGTCCCTAGTGTTAGAAGAATTAGACTAGAGCTGTAGCCTAGGGGATTGGGTAGAAGTAGAGCTCTTGTGGCAAACCTTATGCAGAAAACCCCAAGTATTTTAAGTTTCTCCATCTATAAAATAGGGATAAAGAAGAAAAAAAATAACTACAAGAGGGACTTTGAGAGACTAATAAAATTATGGCATATATGTGGATTGTGTAAAATCCCATGATACATTTTTACACTTATAAGCACAAATACTGCTACTGTTATTATTTGTGAACCAACTACTGACCCATTCCTCCTTTTGCTGTTATTTTGCTTTAATCATTTTTACGTTGGTCATTATCTTACCCCACAGTAGATCTTTACATGTTGGCTTTCTATAACTAACCATCTTCATCCTTTATTAGAGATATTTTGTCATTCCCCTCCCATCATTTAGGTCTCGTGGACTGCCCAAGCTAAAAGAGTCTCGTTCCCATGAGTCTTTGCTCAGCCCGTGCAGTGCTGTAGAATGTCTGGACCTTGGCAGAGGGGAGCCAGTATCAGTCAAACCGCTACATAGCAGCATCCTCGGACAAGATTTCTGCTTTGAGGTAAAGCGGTGAGGAGAGAGTGCAGTTAAATGTATTACTCACCATATAATTTCCTGGATTTATAACTTCGATGTTGAATTATTGGTTAGTTGTTCATCTTAAAGAAATAGATTGCTATAAACTGTATACCCTCCAAATAATGCAAAAGGAAGATAGTTGTGTTTCTAATTAAAGATTTGCTCAATCAAATTATTCAAATTCCTTTTGGCCTATTATGCTTCCTAACTGAATAGATCATCCAACTCTCAGTTGTAGGTCGCAGGATCAATAATAACTTACTTGCATTATATTATTTTTTAGAATTGTTAAAGTCTTCTTACACTGTAGCATTTTTCAAAACACTAAGTCCCAAATCATAAGTGGTATTTGAAGACATTATCCAGTACTAGTGATGGGGTTACTCACACCACTAAGAAGGTAGATCCATTGATTTCTCAAAGAAGAATCAGAAGAAGGGTTCTATGTGGTATAACTTTGATTCATAGCTTATCCTGATCCCTTAAATGATAAAACATATGTAAAAGAATCCACACACCAAGTCTCTTTACCTTTATCTGTGATGTGTTGTATTCTAGGTAACCTACTTGAGTGGAAGTAAATGTTTTAGCTGTAATTCAGCTTCAGAGAGAGACAAGTGGATGGAAAATCTACGGCGGACAGTACAACCCAATAAGGTAATATAGTGGCCTTGAGTTCCCAGCAATTCCAAAGATTCATGGGAACAAAACGAAGAAATACAACTCCACAAATGATCACTTGACTAGAGAAAGAATGCGTTAGCAAATGTTATTGGAAATGTCCTGTTCCTCATCAGACATTGTTTCTTTTTGTGTCTTCAGAATTCACTCCTGAAAGTTTTTCATACATCCTAGATTGCTTTCTCTTCAAGCCTGAAGTCCACAGATCCCCAAGGAGTCTGTGTATAGATTTCAGGGGAAATGAATTTGGATGGGAGAAAAAATACATCTTTATTTTCGCTAGCCTCTAACTGAAAAATTAGCATTTCTTTCAATTGTTTAAAAACATTATTCTAAGAAGAGGTATATAAATATTACCAGAATGCTAAAGGAGTCCAGGACACAAAAAAGCCTAAGAACCCTTGTCCTAAAGGGATCCTACCTATCTTTTCTCTAAACTCTTGGAAATCTGCTCTTTAAAAATCTGGTATGCATCTCAGATTATTCCTGGCTTTCCTAGCCTTCATTAACACAAATTCTAAGATGGTATGGCCATTTCACTCCAGGTTCCCATCGTTTTGAATTACTAGAATTCACAATGATTGTTCTCATTGTTTATTCCTCCTTTTAAGGGCTGAAACTGTTAAAGCAAGCCAAAAATTATTAGTTGCTCTGCTTTTTATAGTGAGACAGAGCTCCAACAAATTAGCGAGGTAATTGAGATTCCATATTACTATATCAGCTAGGTGGCACAGTAGTTAGAACATTGGACTTGGAGTAAGGAAACCTTGAGTTCCATTCCAGATTTGGATCCTTGTGACCCTGAGTAAGCTACTTAACCTTTCTGTATCTCAGTTCATCTATAAAATAGGGATAGTAATAACACCTACCTCACAGGGTTGTTGTGAAGATAAAAATGAGATAATATTTGTAAAGCAGTTAAACATCACACCCCCATGCCAGGCTGGTGATCTGATCCCCAAATTCCTCATCCATGTCTTCTTTGATTTTGCATTGTTTTTATTAATATGTCCCTCCCCATTACCTCCCCGACCCATTGAACAAATAAAAAAATAAAACTCCTCAAATAAAGCTAAGTACATAGCTACCTAGTCCAGCAAAACAAATTCCCCGATTAGCCATGCCTGAAATTGTGTATCTCCTCCTGCATTTTGAATTCATCACTTCTCTGTCAGGAGTCGAGTGGCATGTTTCAGCCTCATTCTTCTGGACTCGTTTTTCATTGCATTGATCAGAGTTCTTGAGGTTTTCAAAGCTGTTTTTCTCTATAATGTTATCATTGCGTAAATTTTTCTCCTCGTTCCACTCTCCTAGCTCTGCATCAATTCATAGAGGTCTTCCCTGTTTCCTCTGAAACTGTTTCATAATTTCTCATGGCACAATAATATTTCATTATATTCATATACTACAGTTTGTTCAGTCATTCACCTGTAAAAGGACGCCCCCTTAGTTTGCAATTTTTGATTACCACAAAACTTGCTATAAGTATTTCTTGGTGTAAACTCTTTTCCTCTTTCTGTGATTTCTTTTGTAGTACAGACCTAGGAGTGGTATAGTTGGATCAGAGGGTATATACAGTTTGGTATCTTTGTCCTCTTTCTGTCCAGATAGATTACAGTTTACCTTGTTTCTTTGTTGATTGTCATCCAAATCCTGTCTACCATGCTTCCTCTCTCAGGTTACTAGATTTGCTACCATGAGTATGTCTTGTTGATAGACATTGCTACTCTGTTTTCCCACCCTGTTTATCTCTCTTATTCCTTTTGAATAAGTATGTCCTTCCAGAGCCTCAGATAATGGGTCTCATCCCAAGTCTCAGTGGCACCTACAAAATCAAATTTGCCTTTGAGTTGGGGTCACTGATTTACCTTAGTTCTTACCTGTAATTTGTGTAACTGTATACAACCTGAGACTTCAGAGTTTATTGAAGATTATTTTCTTGGATTTTGTCTCCTATAAATTTCTGGATTTCCTATTATTATTCCTTTCTATGTTGTAGCTATTCTCCTCTTCTCTGTTTATCTAGCTGGGTTGACATACTTAAGCTGTTTTGCCCCCTTTTTTCTTTTTAGTTTAAACTTCTTTTGATTAGATTTACAGGGTCCCAGGCAAATACATTTTTACCCGTCCTTGTTAGGTGCCTTCTATCTTTGGCCATGAGTCCCTCTTCCTATATTTTAAGCTACTATCCATCAGTCAAAATTCCTTTCTTTGTCATCAAGTTATTAGCTAGATCACTCCCAGATCTGCCTTTCTCATCTGAAGTTCTTACTGTCACTTGATATCAGTGATGAAAATAACACCTGTGCTTTTAAGGGCTTCAATTTATTATTAATGACTTCATAATCCTATGGAATTGGTATAAGCCTACAGGTTTCTGATTCATTGACATCTTTAACTTATTAGCATGAAAAATTAGCAAAGGCAAACCTGTTCAGTGATGGTTGACTCACTAATAGGCTACAGGATGTACTACTTTGAAAGAGACTAATTCCATTCTAAGATAACATTCCTTGAATTTAGCTTCCTTTTTTTCATTATAGGACAACTGTAGAAGGGCTGAGAATGTTTTACGGTTGTGGATTATTGAAGCCAAGGACCTGGCCCCAAAAAAGAAGTATTTCTGTGAGCTGTGCCTTGATGATACTCTTTTTGCTCGTACTACTAGCAAGACCAAAGCAGACAATATTTTCTGGGGTGAACATTTTGAATTCTACAGCCTTCCCCCACTCCATAGCATCACAGTTCACATTTATAAGGACATGGAAAAAAAGAAAAAAAAGGACAAGAATAATTATGTAGGACTTGTCAACATACCCACAGCCAGTGTGACTGGCCGCCAGTTTGTGGAAAAATGGTACCCTGTGAGCACACCTACACCCAACAAAGGAAAGACTGGAGGTCCTTCTATTCGGATTAAGTCACGTTTCCAGACTATCACCATTCTACCTATGGAGCAGTACAAAGAATTTGCTGAATTTGTCACCAGCAACTACACCATGTTGTGCTCTGTCCTAGAGCCTGTGATTAGTGTACGAAACAAAGAAGAGCTGGCTTGTGCCTTGGTGCACATTCTTCAGAGTACTGGCAGGGCCAGGGTAGGTGGAGAAGGGGAATTGGATAGTTGACAAGCTGTGCAAATTCTGCTTGGCATGATTTTGTGTGTGTGTGTGTGTGTGTGTGTGTGTGTGTACGCATGTGTGGATTCATAGTTAGAATAGCTTGTTTAGAACACTTTTAGTTGAGACAGAGACAGTTCATTTTGTACTTGCTAAGAGCAGTGTTTGTGGAATTGAATTGGGACATGCATTACTAAGATGTCTTTAATATCATTTAGAGTAAATCAATATATTTAGTCACCAGCAAGGGGACATGCAGAATATAGAGCTGGCCCCAGAATTAGCATGACCTGGGTTCAGGTTCTGCTAATTCAGTGATCCTGGGTATGCTCTTTAACCTCTCCTAGTGCCCCAGGGGAGGTCTCTATGGCCCTAAGTTGTAGAAAAGGCTCTGTCCTCATTGGTGGAGGAAGTTCCTCACCTAAAGCCTAAAATCACAACTTCCTCATTATGTAGGATGCTAACTCCGGAATAAGGAAGAACTGGGTTTAAATATCATCTCTGATGCTTAACAGTTGTGTGACAGTGGACAAGCCACTTGACCTCTGTGATCCTCAATTTTCTCTTCTATAAAATGGACTTAATACCTAAAGTACATACTTCTTAGGGAGGAGTATAATGAGGTGCCAATGAGCTTCACATATGTAGAGCATTTTGCAAATTTTAAAGATAGATAGACAGATCATTATTCTATTTTATGGCTTAACTTACTTGTAGTAATCTTAAATTTTCTCATGCTACTATTAGTTAACTTGAGATGAAGTTTAATAACACAATCTTTGGGACACTTCTCACTTTCAGTATGTAGCTGTGTCCTTTGTTCCTTGAAATTGCTCATACCCAGGATATACAAGAGTGCTATTGATGCTTATTAACCATTTGTTGTTTTGTGGTTTTGAATTGCCCTAGATAAAAGTCCATTAGTGCTTTCAACTTTGATGTAAAATGAAAAAAAAATCATTTAATCATTTCTCTTTCTTTTTTTATTTTAATTTGATAGCCATGTGCTTGTAGTTTACCCCTCCAGCTTATAGCAACTAAATCACTACATTCAAGTAATTCTACTGACACATTTGGGATTCAAAAGCAAAGAAAAAGGAATCTGAAGTGAATTCTGTCTTCTCGTCTTAAGAGAATACACTAGTCTCAGTTTAGAAAACAGGGCACCCACTAATCACACAGTCTCCTGCAATATGCATCATTTTCTCAGTTACCTTCTTCTTCCTTCAACTTTGCCCTGACAGGACTTTCTGACAGACCTGGTGATGTCTGAGGTGGATCGTTGTGGAGAGCATGATGTATTGATCTTCAGGGAGAACACAATTGCCACCAAATCCATTGAGGAATACCTAAAGTTGGTGGGACAGCAGTATCTCCATGATGCACTTGGTAAAAAGAAAACTACCATCCGTATTCGTTGCCTTTCCTTTCTGCTACCAGCTATTTCAACCTAAAGGGATAATAGACTCACTTTAATAGCTTCTTGTCTCCAATTTGCATGGTGGTCAAGTGTTTTTCTTCTTTTCCTCATTTCTTTACTTGATTCCTTTGTTTCTAATTCATGACCCTTAGTTGATAGAAATGTAGTAGGGTTGTAGAGTAAAATAGATTTTGATTAACGTCAAGAAACTGTGCAGCTTAATTTACATAAGTACCTTTTTGTACTCACATTATAAGCTGTATCTTACAGCCACAGCAAGAGCTGTCCTTTGATGATTATTACCATATTATAAAACTGTGAATGAAGCCTCTAGTACAGTTCCATGCTTGCTGTAGGTATTCAGTAAAATACATGTTGACTAAATTCTTATTTTTGAGCTCAAAAAGCAATATCACCTTCATACAATATGCTGAGCTAAATAAATTGCCATGTGAATGCAGTATTTCTATATTTTGAATAAGAAGGAACAATTTAAATAGATGATGAAGATTATGTCACTCACTGGGACATAAAATAGGTTATCGAAGGCTCATGACAAGAGATTTAAGTAATCACATAGATCTGTTACTGTATTTTTTTAAAAAATTGTTACTATATTTAAAATGGCCAATGTGGAAAAAAATGGCTACTCCCAATTGGAATAATTTTATCCATTGGTAAGTTTCCTGGGGGCAAAGGTTGTGTTGTCTACTTTGTGATTCCTCATTGTGCCTTGAATGATAAAATCCAGTTAACCAGAATTCATCTCACTGGATATCTCAGTTAGAAGTTTCTTGCTCTGATATGGGTTGGGCCTGTAACATCTGAGAAACCCTTCTACTCTGTGATTCCAACTGGAATATCAACTGTGAATGGATGAAATATTTTTGTTTTTTTTTTACTTTTTTAAAGGAAACAAATGACAAGTGAAGTTTCTGTCACACAAATTTTTAAAGCAACTTCCAGAGTGTGTCCTAGAGCCAGTATCGACTCATTAGATAGTACTGGCCAATGATAATTGATGTTTTAAATAATGACCTTGAGATACCACAAGAGCCTTAATCGTCTAAGGAAGTTTAAATTATGTTAGTATAAGGTACTTGCTTAGCCAAGGAAGCATACTAATATAGCTTAATGTTAATACAAATATTACTAAAAGACATTGACCCAAAAAAGTCCTCAGCTAACCCCCAGTTAATCAGAAACCATAATGGACAAGAATATTGAAAGGTATCTCCCAGAGAACTGAGATTTTACCATTAGTTGTCTGCACTTGACTTTCAGTACCTAAATGGTGTTGATTAAAATAACCTCAGAATGTGGACAGGATTTAGCTTAAAATTTGCCAGTCTGTAGTATAGCACACAACTGTTGGGCAGCCAGTCTTCATCTGTTTTGATGAAAGCACTGCTCTTTACCAAGCAAATTCTGTTGCCTTATTCATAAGAGACTATTTCCTTGGAGCTGAGATTTACCTTTGTGGTTGAAATCCAATCAATCAATCAGCAAATACTATGTGCCAGGCACTGGACTAGGCACTGAGGATGCAAATACGATGAATGAAACCATCCTAATGAGAGAGGAGATGAGGAACTACATAGGTGTAAATAGAATAAATATAAATAAAGGAGCACAGATAAATGCAAAGTAGTTAAATACAAGGTAGTTTGGAAGAAAGGGCATTGGGAATCAGTTGAAGGCATCAGAGAAGGCTTCGTGCACAAGGTGATGCCTGATCTATGTCTTAGATTAAAAGAACTGAAGGTCTCAGTAAGAATGAAAAATAGATTTCAGAGGAGAAGCTCAGTAAATTGCCTTAACAGAAAGAAATTCCACCAGACAGGTCCTTAAAGGAGTTCCCTTATAATGGCCTTACTTAACAGATCTCTAGTGGCAAAGCTGAATTCATTTCAAACACCACTATGTTAAAAATCTTTTGGTTTATTCTCAGAAATGAAGTCTCCAGGTTCCTAGAAAATAAATCCTGGAGCATTCAAAGGATTGACTTTCATTTGAACAACATACTAAGAACCCCACTTCACTTTTGATTTCCCATAAACAGAATAGCATTTATAAACAGGCCTTTGAAGATTATAAATGTTTTTAGATTCTATATAGAATATGTATACATCCAGAAAATTCCATTATTAATATAAATTTTATCAGCATGTTTTAAATTTATCAGCATGCACTGTTGCCTTCAAAAAATATTTTTAAATACCTAAATGCAAATGGTAATATAAAAAAAAATCGTTAATTTCTGAGCCCTAAAATTTCTCATTTGGCATCTCTTTCAGCACTTATAATGGAAAGTATTTGTTAGTATTTGTGAGTTATTTATTAGCATTAGCTAATAAAGGTTGTCTAGCCTTGGAGACCCTTGCAGAATTACAGAAAAAAAAAAATATTAAGATCACAAATTTAGGACATGGGCCAATCTCCCATTGATCATTCTGTGTGGAATTCCTTACATTACAGTATGATTGCCTTTTGTGAGTTAATAGATAAATAATTAACAATATGAATGTTATTTTTGGTCATCTAACTTCTTAAAAAATTGTACAAACATACATATTTCATTCTTAACAAATTTGTATCTCAAAACTAACATTCGCCATTCTCCATTATAGTTTCTTTTGAAGTGAATTTGACACCTTATCACATTGCCAATTATATCACAGGAGTATCTTAGCATGTTAATAGAGAATGTGCCTCTTAAGGCAACTGCTATTCACTATTCCAGAGAAACAATTTTGATCACTTCTTGAGGTTCTCATGAAATTATTTCTGCTCAGTAGGATTCTTAAGGAATGTAAACTGATCTGAAGGGAACAAGGACTATTCTTGCCACTTCCTTAGAGGTCCACCATGAAATACAAAGAAAGTAGAGTATCTGTAGTCATGCAGATGTGGAAAAGCAGGCCTTGCTCTTCCAAGGTGATGAGTTTTAACTGCACTTTTAGGTGTCTCATAAAAAAAAAATGGTCATCAAGGAGAAGAAACTAGACTCCAGCTTGAATCTATTCTTGGTACCACCATTAGCACTTGCAGTCTTAGTTCATTCAGATTTTGTGGTTTGGGGCCTACATTTCTCAAACAGTGATAGCAGTGTTGGCCAGCTATCTACTACGCAGAGGGTCTTTATAACAGTTAATGAATTAATGTTTATTAAGTAGCTTGAGGTGTTCAAAAATAACACCTCTGATCTGCCTCATCATTATCCGGTCACTGCCAGAGACAGGATACTTCTGGTACCTAGGATGTGGTTTCAAAGCAATTACCCTTGGTGGACAGTCATTTGAGCCCTCAGCATCTGGTCTCAAAAAGCAATTCCCCATAGTAAATTCTAGGGCAAGAGACAATTGCCAACAGAAAGCCTAAATAGGATTTTGATGCTATTCAGGGACACATTTCTTATAATTGCTACTATCTGTCATCTTCTTCCCTCTAATAGGGGAGTTCATCAAGGCTTTGTATGAGTCAGATGAGAATTGTGAAGTGGATCCCAGCAAATGTTCATCGAGTGAACTATTTGACCACCAAAGCAACCTAAAAATGTGCTGTGAGCTGGCATTTTGCAAAATCATCAACTCTTACTGGTGAGCATATGGACATCACTATTTGCTTATTTGCATATAAAAGTAATTGTAGTCTTTTTTATCTCCCAACTAAAGAAATATGTTGTATCATATACTGGTTCGTGTATGTTTATGTTTAATCGGGATTTTCTTCTTTTCCTCCACAGTGTTTTCCCCCGTGAATTGAAAGAAGTGTTTGCATCTTGGAAGCAGCAGTGCCTGAACAGGGGCAAGCAAGATATCAGTGAGCGTCTCATCAGTGCCTCCCTGTTTCTCCGCTTCCTGTGCCCGGCCATCATGTCCCCCAGCCTTTTCAGCCTTATGCAGGAATATCCTGATGACCGGACGTCTAGGACTTTGACGCTCATTGCCAAGGTTATTCAAAACCTTGCAAATTTTGCCAAGTAGGTGATGGTGACATAATGACATCTTTAAAGGATTATAGTTTAAAAGAAAAAAAGAGGAGGAGAAAAGAGAAATATTAGTCATTTACAAAAATGGTCACAGGCTACTTCAGTATAGAGAGGAATTGGCCAAATCCTGGAAAGATCAGATTTCATGTATACATGCGTGTGTGTGTGTGTGAAAATTTTCCAGAAGGGCACCACTTCTGCTGTAGTCTGTTCACCTATGCATACACACACACAAGCACATACCTTTACTTAAAGCTGAACTAATTCTGATCAAAGTGGCAGCACCATTAAAAGATTCCCACTAAATATCAATTCTTAGCTATTCATGTGTATTGTAAAGTATTGTACAGAAATGTGTATAGGGAGCTCCATAATTGATTTAACCATTATTCTGTATTAGTATTTATTGAATATGTACTAAGCACCCAGTGTAACGGTGGGCCCTATGGAAGCATTCCAAAGGAATGCTTTATGGACAAGGAGTCCATAATCTATCTAGAGAGAAGACACAGTGTGATTTCTGAAGGGCATGAAACCATATGTATGACATATGTTTGATATAACCAATAATTACTGCTAAAAGAGTTTAAAGATGTGAGAAATTGATGTGGGCTGGTGTAATTGTGGTGAGCTTCATGGAGGAAATAGGACTTTGAAGGATAAATAAAATTTGGCTGGATGAAAAGGTGGAGAAAGGCATCTCTGGTTGGAAAAACAGCACTTACAAAGAACAGCATGAAGGAGGGTAGTAGTAGCAGCAGTGGTAGTAATGCTTATAGTGATTTAAGGTTTGCGAACAGGCTTTACACGTGCTGTCTCATTGGACCCTCACAGCTACCCTTTGAGTTAGTGGGTGACAATAAAAAGAGTGGCTTAGATGGAGAAGAAAGGACTTTGGACTTAATCCGGGCATCAGTAGAAAACCACGGAAGACTTTTGAGCAAGGAAGCGAGATGACGAAAGTGATCTTTTAAGAAGATACCTCACTTTCCCTGAGGATGTACCTTTTTATTCCCTTTTTAACATGTATATTCTATGTAAAAATTAGTATCTTTCTTTTCCTTTGCTTCAGGTTTGGTAACAAAGAGGAATACATGGCTTTTATGAATGATTTCTTAGAACATGAGTGGTGTGGAATGAAGCGCTTTCTGCTGGAGATTTCTAACCCAGACACCATCTCAAATACCCCTGGCTTCGATGGCTACATTGATCTGGGCAGAGAGCTTTCAGTTTTGCATTCCCTATTATGGGAAGTTGTTTCCCAACTTGATAAGGTAAAGCAGGCTGGAAGCGTAAAAGGGGAGATGGGAGATGTAGAACCTTAATGTCCCTGAATACTGGAAATCCAGGGCATGAGATAGTGCTCCATTTCAGTGCTGGCTGAAAAGTTAACATTTGGCCCAGTGGTTCTAGGGGTAAGCAGGTTTGTAAATAGAATGATTCACCCTCAATATCTAACTGCACTTACTGTGTATAACACAGTGTTCGTTTTCCTAAATCTTAGTAGACAAAAGAAATAGAGGTGCAAATAAGAAAGCTCTTTGAGAAACAATACGGAGCAGTTAGTATGTGCATTTGTGATAGTATCCTGATACTGGTGAAATAAGGCAAAACATTCCTACAACCTTGTATCACGTGTAATAGTAGATCTAGAAATTTATGAAAGTTATAGCTTGCTGGTTTTGGTCCTTCAGCAAACAGATATCAAATATTTGAGCATGCAGTCTAATTCACACATGATAGAATGAATCAAGACCATATATAATTATTTCCAACAAAAGTGCTGATGTTGTCACAAAAGTACTGAGGAAATTATATTTAAATTAGGATACATTTCCCTGTGCAAGTCAGAAAAATGGCTTTCATAATTGCTAAAGCCACAGAGTCCACCTGGGATTTGAAAATCCAGGTGTGTTGTTTCTCCACAGGTGTGAATTAGACACATAGGAAGCAATCACCATTTAAAGTAATTTCTTTTTCTGACTGTAACCCCACTTGGAGGTTAAAGAAAATTACATTTTCTCCCATTCCTGATTAAATTTCTATCATGCCAATCATTTTCCTACCTTTAGGAAATTGGGCAGGAAGAACAGTTTCCATAGAGGAGAATAACCCAATAGAATTTGGTTATCAATAAGGCTTGTGTTTGCAGCTGTTTGCCCCAGATATGATGTAAATATGTATGGTGGTATGTTAGAATAATTTCCAAAAACAAACATGTACTTTGTAGCTATACTTGAACATTTTGTACCTTGGATACAAAATTAAGATACCTTGGATGGGAAAATTTATTTACAAAGACTATTTTCCTGGGGCCACTTAAGTGATAGTGTGTGTGGCAAGATCCACAAAGCATCCCCTGTGCTCTGGAGCTGCCTTGTGGCTTTCACATCTGCCCAAGTATGTCTGAAATTTTAGCTACTGAGCAAAAAGGATCGAAGGCAAAATTTGACTTGGGCGAAGAGAAAGAGGCAACCTGACCTTCACATGACATGTACCCATTTGAACAGTATGGAGGAGTATATTGACTCCTCAGAGCAGGAGTTCTTAACTTGGCATCCATGCACTTGGGGTTTTTAAAAATCTTGATGGCTGTATTTCAGTGTAATAAGTTTCCTTTGTAATCTTGTGTATGTTTATTTTATGCATTTCAAAGCATTATTCTGAGAAGAGTCTGTGAAACAAAAAGCCAAGAAACCCTGACTTAGAGCATAGACTAAAACTAATGGAGTTAATTTTAGCTTGTCTTGATCCCCATTAAGGTCACTGCCTTAAACAACAGTCCACAGGTCCTATTTCTTGATAATGAGCATTCTTGAAAAGATTAGGAGAAAGAAAGCTGGTTCTAAAAGGTTATTATTGTCCATTGCAAAAAATATTAGTGGGGTAGGGAATATTTTGTGAAACAGTATTAGCTTAGTCTGGATGATCTTTTAAAATCTTTACTGTGTAAATTTGCTTCTTCTGCACTAGTAATAATTTAGTCCTAAGAATCTGGGCTATACCTGGTAATATCCCCTGGTTGCTGTTGATAGGACCTTGTTGCACAGATATCTGTTTTACTGATGCACATTCAGATGGCCATAGAATAGGGTACCCAGCATAAAATAGGACATTAAATGTTAATGGCAACCTTGTGCCCCTGCAGTGCTCTCTTGGACCCCTGAATGCAGCACCTTCTTGTATGTTGGCATGCATTTCTTTTCCCACATGACTCCTTAACCTTGAAAGTTCCATTCAGCTAGCTGATCCTCTAGCCCTTGAATTCCTTTTTTTAGGGGTTTGGTTTGCCTCATTCCTCCAGCCCATCTTGACCTACTCTACCCCCACAGACTTAGTCTGCTTTGCATGCCCATTTTAAGTTGGAATGGCAATATGGTTGTATTAAGCATGTCTTTAATTTTTTTTTTGCATTAATCCTAATTTCTTTTCTATTTCCTTTCTTTCCTCAATGTTGCTGCACACCTTGTTTCGTCTCCATCTCGTCGCCATGGTTACGCTGCTCCATAACAATGCATTATGAACCTGCCACACCCACATGCAAAAATTTACCCTTCCTTCCAACCTTCACCCCTCCATCAATGTGCATCATCCCCATCCCAAAAAAAATATGGCGGATGTTCCGATGCTTATTATCCAATCAGGGTGAAAATTCCTTCCTACAGGCGACTGTGGCAAAATTGGGACCACTTCCTCGTGTCCTCGCTGATATTACCAAGTCTCTGACTAATCCTACACCAATACAGCAGCAACTCAGACGTTTCACTGAGCATAACTCCAGCCCAAATGTCAGTGGCAGTCTGTCCTCAGGACTGCAGAAGATATTTGAGGACCCCACTGACAGGTATGAAAGAGTGAGGATTTGAACTAAAATATCAAGTGAATTGGTCAAATTCTAGACAACAAAGTTCTACTTAACTTTGAACAGTCTCTCAATATAATGTATATATCAGCTACTCCTCTGGACCTTAATTGCTTCAACTATAAAATGAAACCGTTAGACTAGCTGCATATTCTCTGGGGTCCTTTCAGCTCTAACATTTTATGATTTGTTGATTGAAAAGTTTCCTTGAGTGAAGAGGAGGGGCCTTCAGTGATCTTCCCTATCCCCGTATTTTATCTATTTCCCAACAGTACTAATTAGATGGTAAATCCCAGAAGAAAATATTTTATCTAGAGCAAATGAAACTCTGGTCCTAATAATATTGAGTTCTAGGTATGCGTGGATGAGAAGGAAGCATAGAAAGGGGGACAGAAGGCAAGACCTAGAAAGTCAGCAGAGATTTTGTTCTATTAAGAAAAATTGGGGAAGAAATGATAACAGGTAAAAATCAAGAGGCTTGAGAGGAGTTAAAACCATACTTGAACATTAATTAGAAGTGCAATAAAGTAATGGGAATAGGATTCAGAGATGTGGGTCTGTCCCTTTGGAGAAAACTACAGCAGTGTAAAATATTTTGTCTTCAAAATCAACTGATTATGAAATTCAAATTTGGACAGAAAAATATGTAAAGAATAATTGGTCCCATGGAATTTCAGAGAAAATTGTCATAGGTAGTGTGAATTGCCTGGGTTCTTGCCTAGGTGGTAACTCAGAATCTCTTTCTTTTCCACAGTGATTTGCACAAATTAAAGTCTCCAACCCAGGAAAACACAGATAGCTATTTTAGAGGTAAAACGTTACTGTTGGTTCAGCAGGCATCCTCCCAAAGCATGACTTATTCAGAAAAAGATGAAAAGGAAAATGGACTTCCTAATGGAAGGAGCATTTCACTTATGGATCTTCAGGACCCCCATGCTACTCAGATGGACCATGCATCCATCATGCTGGATGTGCCCACGCGTTTGACCGGCAGCCAGCTTTCCATCACCCAAGTGGCCAGTATCAAGCAACTCCGAGAGACACAGAGTACCCCGCAGAGTGCACCCCAAGTGAGGAGACCTTTGCATCCCGCCTTGAGCCAGCCAGGCAACCTCCAACCCCTGTCCTTCCAAAACCCAGTTTATCACCTCAACAACCCCACCCCATCCATGCCAAAGGCCTCGGTGGATTCCAGTTTGGAGAACTTAAGCACTGCCAGCTCCAGAAGCCAAAGTAACAGTGAAGATTTCAAACTCAGCGGCCCCAGCAACAGCAGCCTGGAAGACTTCGCCAAACGCAGCACCCAGAGTGAAGACTTTTCTAGGAGGCACACAGGGCCGGATAGGCACATACCTCTTGCCCTTCCACGGCAAAATAGTACCGGGCAAGCGCAGATCCGCAAAATGGACCAGGCCGGGCTGGGCGCCCGAGCCAGAGCCCCCCATTCCCTGCCACACAGCGCTTCTCTCCGGAGCACAGGAAGCATGTCAGTAGCTTCCGCGGCCTTGGTGGCTGAACCCATACAGAATGGAAGCAGGTCCCGGCAGCAGTCCTCCTCGTCCAGAGAAAGCCCTGTCCCCAAAGTGAGAGCGATCCAGCGGCAGCAAACACAGCCGGTAGGAGCGGACTTTAATGCAGTTTTTACAGTGATCTGAACAGGCTAGTAGCTGAGTTATCAGGGTATCCAATTAAAAAACAGGGTGCTTGCTTGATGATAGTTTCTGCTGACTGTTAATGTGAAAAAACAGAAGTTAAACTAGATCATGTCTGGGTAAAGAAAAAGAGTCTTAGAACCAGAAAGACAAACTGAGTGCAGTTTCCCTCGCTGCCCTTCAGGGCCTCTTGTGCCTGAAGGACCGAGTGGGCCCTGCTCTTTTACGAACAGTCCCGTCATCAGCTGATGGTCAGTCAGGTGTGTGGCGCAAAGGCAGTGATGGCACATGCTGAGGAGCCAGCAGGCAAGTAGAGGCTGCACCTTCTGAATTTTCCCTCAAGCTTCTAGGAGTAGCATGTGCATCTAAGAGTCCTATTTGTCCTGCCTTCCTTCAAAGCTCCCTCTGGAAATGCCAGAGGCCCCTTGAGCTTTTTACTGGAAGTGGTAAGAAAAACAAACAGCTGAACACAAAATGGTAAAGGTAATGAGTCAGGGTGGTGAAAATTAAAGAAATACGTGTGCTTGGACTTGAAGAATTTTCAAACCACTGCTATTTCTCTACATGGGCTTAGCCCGAGAAATGTTCACGCCCACACTTAATGTGCTGAAAACTAAGAGAATTGCTACCCTTGACTGTTAGCAAACACATCCAGTCCGTTCATGTTCTTTGAATCAATAGGGCATATTTTACTATTTGAAATAAGTTAATTACCTGGAAAATACAGGTCCATGTTTTTTTTAGGCAATTGGAGTTAAGTGACTTGCCCAGGGTCACACATCTAGTAAGTGTCAAGTATTTGGTCAGAGGCCTAATTTGAACTCGGGTCCTCCTGACTTCAGAGCTGGTGCTTTTTAAAAGAGATATGCTCCTGAAGAGTTTTGTACAATTTTTTTTTCTGTTTAATCCTATTTTAAAAGATGCTAGGAGAACTGAGAATTCCATGATAAATCATTTCATAAAGTCAAGAACCCTTTTTTATAAAGCAAATTAATATTGAAAAAGTCAGGGGGCAGCTAGGTGGCACAGTGGATAGAGCACTGGCCCTGGAGTCAGGAGGACCTGAGTTCAAATTCGGTCTCAGACCAGATTTGGATACTTACTAGCTATGTGACCCGGGGCAAGTCACTTAACCCCAATTGCCTCACCAAAAAGAAAGAAAGAAAAAGAAAAAGTCAATACATATACCCTCTCAAATCCACACAAATAGCAACGAACCCTTATATTATTTGCTTGTAAATTGTTATTTTCAAATACAGGCAGTTTTGTTTGACAGACATATTTAAACTTTGGGGTTGTTTGGAGATTTTATGAGTTCAGACATAATAGAAGACAGAAAGTACTGAGAATCAGGTACAGAAGAGGGGGAGAAGAGGGATGGGACAGGTTCCCCAGCAAGCCAACCCAACAAAGTAGAGGTCCTCCAGTGGTATACTTGCAGCAGCATTAGCGCACTAACAGGGGAGAACCACCAGAAGGAAGAAGGGGGGGGGGGGGGGGGAGAGGACCAAAGACCAATTTGATCTTCCTTGAGATTTTGCTTAGATCTAACGGAGAGGGAGCATTTCTACTGATCCTTCCTCCTAAACCACAGGAACTCCTCTTAGTAAGTTAAATATGCGTTGGTGGACCTGTAGAGAACCTCACCATTATCTGTAACAATCAGCTTGCACACAAACTTTTGGTCACGCAACCCGCTGGTGAGTTGGAAACAACCCACAATGGTCTTGCTTGCTTGTTCCCTGCTCCCACTGCTCTTCCAGTTAGGGTTAGGGTGAGCAGATGGGGTCAGGGTTAGCATGTTGGGTCAGGGTCAGGGTCAGCTCTACAGGAGATGTGCTTCAAGTGGAGGGACTGATGTGGTGCTGTGGCCACTTTATGACCCTCATTAAGGCATTCCTCTCCTTTTGTTCTTTAGCCACTCCTGCCAGCCTCATTAGCTGATGAATGAATGAATGAAAATGAATGACAAAGCATTTATTAAGCACTTACCAGTGCCAAGTGTGGTCCCAGCAATTTGCTTGCTGAAATTCCCACTCATCTGTCAACCCTGTCTTTTTCTACCCAACCTATTTATTTCCTGTTTCTCAAGTCACTTCAGAATACGGGGCGGGGGGGGGGGGGGGGGGGGGGGGGGGGGGG